TGTCTATTGGTTCTATGACTTACTTCCCTTATTAGATGGTAAAGACCTTCCCATGTCTCTTAGTGGTTGAGGTTAAGGGGCTGCAGCTACACTGGCAAAGAAAGGAGCAGGTTAAGTTCATTTAGAGAGCTGGACTGTCTCATTCTGTTTTGACTGTACCCCAAAGAATACTGTCGTTAACACGGTCTTCAGAACATTGTATAACCAGGCATTACAACAAAGGGTTTTTGCTGATGTGGAAAGTGAATCTAAACAGGGACCAAAAGAAAGTCCCAGATCTATCAATGGAGGTAACCCTGCAGGGACTCGAACTCTATTGGTTAACCCCCTTAATGACAGTACCTGCTATCAGGAAAAAGTATGAGTAGGGTGTGGATAACTACATCTCACCATTATTAATAAGCAAGATGCACAGATGGCCTGGGATGTGTAAGAGGCCTCCATTAGAATTTCCCTTGAGGCAGCAACCAGGATAACATTAAAAACGTGGGACAAGTCAGACTGTAAGAGCTCTTGGGGCCAAACAGTACCAGAACTAAACAGCTAGTGCCACCTGGAGGTCAGTGTACACACTGCAACGGTAGTACTGCGTGCTAGGGGTTACCCTTTCTTTAAACCTCCCCCTCACCCTAAACATTAAAGTTTGGCTCCCACGTTCATCATCCTCCAGTTATGGAGTCAAAGTCTACAGGACAGAACTACTCACTTCTACCAGATGGTTGTCTGGCCCATACAGGTCTTTGTCCAGTTCGATCACCAAGGACTTAAAAAAAGAAGAGAATTTCCTCTTTTGTTTGGTGGCATCATATTTGGACAAGGCTGACTAGAGGAGAGAGAGAAGAGGTCATGTTAGAAAAGACCAGAGAAATTTCTCAAGACAAAGTCCCATAAAAAAAGGAACCCACACAACAGTTGGGGGGGGGGGACTCAAAAATGTCTTCTGAATCTCCCTCAGGAGATGACAAAGCAGGTGTCTGTAGGTATTAAGCCAGTCAGGGTAGCCACAGAACCCTGAAGAAGCAGCCTATAACATGTACAGGGTCACTGACTTACCCACCTCATTTCCCTAAAGGAAATGAGGCAAGTTAGGCCAAACTGTTGCCCATAACAAAGCGAGTCTGAACAGAGAAAAGTCTGACTCTAGAGGGGAAATGAATCACAGGCAATAATCAGCCAGAACAAAAACAGCTTTATTTGGATGGAATGATACCACCAGCAGATGGACTGGACCTATATAGAGGAGGAAGCTCTGACACAGAGCCCCGGTTCTCCTTCAAAAATGCATTCTAATTAGCTTGCTTATGAATAGCTAAAAACAGACCATCAGAGAGTGTAAGGGAATAAAAGGTGAGCTTCCCCAAGGAGCTTCTGGGATGGGAAGTAGAGGGCTAACACCCGTCAGCTGATATTCCCCATGATGCAAAGAAAACTATCTCACTTAAACTATGAAAGGCTGGAGAATGAAAATTGGGAAGGTGGAGATACCACAGTGGGAATCAAGGACCTCATGGACAGAGAGGAAAGCATGTCTTCAAATGCTAAGTGCAAAGTCACTTGACTTTAGAGAAACAAAAAACACAAACTGAATAATCTGCAAAGGCTAAGTCCAACGGCCAGCACCATCAGGAGGAAGGTTAACAACAAATCAAATCCCAGAACAATAAGGTTCTCGATATGATACCACAGCAAGGGCCAAGCTGTGGGAGCCAGACACAAAGCACCATTGTCTTTTAGTGCAGGGAACACAGTGACTCTCTCCCTGCTGTTCGCAATAGGAGCTGTGAGCACCAGTCAGGATTCTTGCCAACCAGACAACACTGCTTGCTCCCAGAAGCTTCCACCCTAGATGTCAACCACAGCGGACTTTGAACTCACATCCTCCAGGAGCCGTCCTTCTACCCGAAGCTCCCAGGAAGCCACCGTCCCTTCCCCATCCTCGGCATCTGACTTAGCCGGATTGAAAGTGTTAGAAATGAAAATTCGCAGCTTCCGTTTTTGCTGAAGAAAGCAGAAACAGGATTGATGGTGGGGCTTCAGTGGTTTGATATTTAAAGAATCTCCCCAACCCCCCAAATTACTCCTAACAGACTGGCTTACTATCTACCCAGTCCCTGGGCTGGGTAGATTGAGATTCCATCTAGAAGAATATAGTCCACTGGCCTGAGTGCAACTGCACAAGCTAGGATTGCAAATAGACAAAGTCATGCAAGGTGCCAGGTTCCCAAGGTGGCAGAGGAGTTACAGCAAAAACAGGGACAGGGTATATTTCTGGTGCAGGAGATATCAAAAGCCCCTCCCCCTTTGCTGTTCAGTTCTAATGTAATTCTCAGTTTGTAGGCGGATGGGAGAGATATAATTTAAATGCCAAGGAGAGCCGTGCTGCGCCTTTGATTTCTCATCCTAAGCCTATGGAAGGTTCCCGAGTCCTCTCCTTTGGCGCTCTGCCTAGCACTCTCCTGCATTACCTTGATGGGACGTTTCAAGGCCTCCTGGATATCTAGCCGTTTCCTCATGATAGTCTGGTCCAGCTTCCTTTCAAAAGCCAAGAGATCCATATAGGCCTGGGATTCTGGTACCAGTTCACGAATCTTAGGAACAAAAAGGCATCATTGAGATCTAGAGCTGACCGTCTCTATTTTCAAACTCAGCACATCCTCAAGAAGATCTACGTCCTGGACTCACCCTTTGAGGTAGAATTTTGTCAGCCATCTTCTTTTTCTTTGCACTGTTTGGAATAAATACTGTGATCAGGTTGGGATGGAACTAGCCAGAACATGAAGACAGACTGGTCAGCACCTCCATTTATAGGGAAATGAAGGAACTGCAAAGCGTCTCTCAAATCAAAGACACTCCGCCTACCCCAACCCCCACCCATGTGAGGCATTCTGAAGAATGAGCACCCATCTGACACAGCACCACCACTTCTGGATTCAGGTTCTCCCACTACCTGTGTCCTCACGGGCTCCCTCCCTCTTTCCCTCCCTCCCTCCCTCCCTCCCCTACCCCAGGGTCATCTTACTTGTGGTTTCGATTTTGGACCGCCTGCTGCTGGACCTGCTGTATCTGCTGAGGCGCAGGTCTCTTGCGGGACTGGTCCATCCCTGACTGGGCCAGGCCAGGTCGGACTGAAGGATTCCCCCCATAGCCAGGGGGTCCCATGGAAGGTCCCTGAGGTGTCATTCGGCTGCCTGGCAGCATACCTGGTCTCTATAGAGAGGAAAGGACCCAGAGATGTCATGACTTCCCTACTAGCCCCACCAAGTAAGAGAAAGTGAAAGACGCCTGAGTTCTTTAAATGAAACAAGGTTGGTGGGGGTGGTGGTGGTGGTGGTGGTGATGGAATACAACGGGAAGAGCCCTCTGTTTCTGAAATCCAGATAACTAGACGTTCCTGTACTCCAGTTGCAGCTCCATAGGAATACAGCCCCAAACCTAAAACATAGCTAGATTATACTCAAATTCTCTCCAGTCTATTTCATATCTGACATACTGGGCATCTTCTCTAAGTCCCACATAAGTCCCACATTTACTCAAATGGTACTGGGAACTATCGTCTCCTTAGAAGCTGACCTCGATTGGCTAGCTACACCTTCTGCGTTCCTCTGGGCACTGGAGCTGCGCTGATCCTTTTGCACTCCAGTTCCCACATGCCCACCTTTGGCCCCCCTTCATCCACGCTGTTTCCGTACCCTGACTCCCCAACGCAAACAATGCTCCCAGGAGAAGGTGGGGATGCTAACCGCCTCCCTTCCCTTCCTCCGCACTTGCCTCCCCTCACCCCCGCTCAGGGCCCAAATCCCTCCCAGGAGAGTCCCTCCTACTTCTCCCCCACCCCTGTCACTCCCAGGCCCCCGCTCGGCCCCGCCCCCAGCCCGCGCGCCCCTCCTCCTGCCCCACTCACCGGATAGGCCGCTCCGGGCATCGGGGAGCGGTACAGCCCTTGACCCGGCGCCGGGCCCATTCGCACGGGAGGCCCCGGAGTCCCGCCCGGGCCCAGGGCAGCCGCCGCGCCCGCCCCCCCTGAGGCTCCAGCGCCGCCGCTCGGAGCCACAGACTGGAAACCCGCCCGGGCCGCCATCTTCCCCGGAGCCGCTGCTGCAGCTGCACAAAGAACCGGAACCGGAACTCCCCCCGCCCCCCGCGCGCCCCCCGCGCGCCGGCCTGTCCACCCCGCCGGCCGGCCGGCACGGGAGGCTCAGGGCAGCGAGACTGTGGGCTAGAGGGGGGCGACAAGCGGAAAAGGCCTACTGACCACTCCCTCCCGTCTACACGGTCCGGGAGGGAAGGCCATAGAGAACTCTGGGATAGAGAGGCCCTGTGAGCGGGCGCCCCCAGGCTGACGGGAGGAAGACGAGGCCCTGGAAAGAGGGACCACACCTCAACCTCAACGCTCTGATGACGGGGGTGATGGAGAAACTGCTTCATCTAGGCGCAGTAGATTTAACTTTCCAAAGCGCTTTTTTCGTCTCCTTCTCTTATTGCTTCAAGCCTGGGGGCACTGAAGAAGCGAATGCACCGTTTATTCCATTTTACAAACTGGAGAGCTGATCTTAGTGAATGACTGGGCGAAGATCAACCAAGTTAGCAATAAAGCCAAAGCCCAGAATCCAGATCTTCTGGCTAATAGCCCAAAGGTCATTCCACAGATTCAGTGCAATAACTACCTCACGCCAGAACTTGGACCCAACTTTGTCCCTGACCTTTAAAACCTAAGCTGCTTCCAGATTTTATTTTGGATTTTGACCCTGCCCGCTCTCCAAAGGATCCTTTGTGCTAGGACTTCTCTTTGGGACCTTTGACCTCTCCCTCTTTCCCTGCCCAGTGGTTCAAACCATACCTGGTGTGATGGTCAGTCCGTCCCATCCCAGGAGAACCAGAGTCTCCTTGCTCAAGCCTCCTTACTCCTCCCCAGTTGTTTGGCCCTAAGCTAAGCTCAGTTTTAGGCACTTTGTGGAAAGGCCCAAATACTCTTCAAATAAGAGAAGAACGACAACTGAAGAGATGGTTGAAACCCAGTTTATTAGACCAGAGGCATGCGTCACCCGTAGCCCTGCCTGCTGTTCTCCATCCGGTGCACACCCCTTGGCCTTGTTCCTGCTTCCCTCTGGAGAGGTCTGATCTCCAAGGAACTTCTAAGAACCAAGAGCTCCCCCAACATCCCATAGCCTCACTCTCTAGCTCCAGGCAGTGCACAGGTGACCTGCCACAGGTCCTGTTCTGGGGTTGGAGACCAAGAGACAGTTGGGCGGAGAAGGCCTGGGAAGGGGTAGGGCTCTGGCCTAGGAGGAGTGCCTGGGGGAGGGGGCATGGCAGGCCCTCTACTTCACTCATTTCTCATTAAGATAGGAAGGGAGAGACAGAAGAGCAGAGCTTTCAACTTCCCCTCTAAACCTGTATTTTTCCCCACCATTACCAAACCATACCTCACCAGAAAATAGAAGTGGTGGGCTTAGGTATCAGGTGAGGAAAGGAGGCTGGGCACCCAGAAGGAAGGAAAGGTCACTGGCTGAGGACCTGAACTTCTGTCTCTCCAGCTACAAGACCATAGTTCCCCTTGTCTCTGACACCCTTGGCTTGGTGTGCAGAGCAGATCTCCACTCCCTGGGCAGGGTCTCTTTCCGCAGCTATCCCTTCCCTGGGGAGGCCACAGTCAGCCAGGCAAAGGGCTTTGTGATTGTGAAACAGGGGAGGGAATGTTAAGGCTACGGGAAGGGCATAGGGTGCCCGGGTTGGGGGCAGAGGGTGAGGCCAGAAAGAGGCAGAGCTTGTGATTCACAGCTTCCTTTATGTCGCCACCGAGACAGTGCGAAGGTTACAATGCGCGTGTCGTCTCCTTGTGCTTCTCAGAGGGATGTGTGTACACAGTACAGACACCAGGGGAGAGAGTCCAACTCTTTATACAGGCGAAGGCATTCAGAGACCAGGGAGGGAGTAGAAACACAGAAAGGGGGACTTGGAGCGGGAGGATGGTTCTTAGAGACAAGAGGGGATGGGGTAGAGACAGACAGAGTTAGGGGAAAGTATATACAGAGATATAGCAATATAGAGTCTGTATCATATAGAAATAGAAAATGCAGATGAGGTTGTTGAGAGAAGCAAATGAAGTTGGGGGAGAGGACTTGGGAGAGTTCCATAAGAAAATTTATGGATGCGGCCCTCCGCAGGGGCCCCTGGGAGAGGGACCAGTGAGGTTAGGCACCAGTGTCCCTCTCCCTGAGCTGGAAGCCAACCAGCTGGATCTTTCATGGGACAGTAGAGGAGTGCTACCTCTTGGGATTTCTCTCCAGCAGTTCTGGGGTGGGGGTGAACTTGTAGGTATCAGGATGTGGCCTACAGCACCAGGGCCACATCTTCTCCCCATCATCCACTTCTTCGGGGTATTCCCATCCCCAACTCCCTAGATAGAGACTTCACATGTAAGGGGGTGGGAATGGGGACTAGGGTCTTAGTTCTTGCCTGGAAATTTGCGGTTGGGGGGACACTGGGCTGAGAGGGTCTCTTAAGGCTGGGGAAGCCTGCGCCCGGGGCCCCCCCCGCAACTAGCCCTCCCCTTCAAGGTACATTCTCTGATTCGGGGCCAAATTCCAGACCCCAAGGATCCCCTCCACCCCCCACTGGGAGGGGCTTTGGTGACTGGTGGCAGCAGAATGTAGGTGGACAGTCAGATGACAGACAGCCAGACAGACATAATTCAGGCTGGGAGCTGGGGGAGGCAGCATGGAGCAGAAAGGGGCAGCCTGAGGTCACCTGCCCCATTCTCTCTTTTTAGTTTTTAGTTTTTTAGTTTTTTTTAAGTTTTTTTTTTTTTTTAGATTAGTTTCAGTAAAAATAAAAAGAACGGGATAGAGGCAGGGAGAGGGCTCTATGGTCAAGACTCCTTCCTCACCACAGACAAGAGGAAAGGACTGCCCAGGAGTGGGGGACTACCTTGGGAGGGGGGAGTGAGTCCCCAGGGCAGATGCGGAGGGGCGCAACTGAGGGCCCCCTTATTCTCCTAGCCCTCCCCACCTAGGCCTTTGGTACGGTGGCCTGCGGGGCTCAGCAGGTAAAGTCCTCAAAAGTGCCTCGGGCCGGATGGTGAGGTAGGATGTTGGCAGCATACGTCATCCCGGCAGGATGGCCCCGGAGGCTCTCACACGGGTTCTAGGGGAACGGCACAGGACAGGGACTGGTTATCAGAAGGGCGACAGGTGGTGCTGGGGCTCGGGGGAGGCAAAGGAGAAGAGGTGGCGAGGGGGGTGGTCCTGGGGTTGGGGGGGGGAAGGGGCGGGGCCGGAGGGCACCCCTCTCTTGCTCCCTCACGTGTCTTTTGACGTCATCCAGGCTAAGGGCCACACCCTTGTCCGCGCTGCTCCTTTTGGCCTCCTTCTGGCACTTTCCTCTTCTGCACAGCTTGTGCTTAATGACCTGAGACAGAGGTGGGGTGGTGAGTGGTTTGGCAGGCCGGAACCCTGCAGCGCCTGTGGCCCCACCCCGACGGCCCACCCACAATTACCTCATAGGCGTAGTCAAAGAGCTCCAGTACTGTGAGGATGCTGGCCCCAATGAACAGGCCCATCTGGCCTCCAATGTCACCTGCAGGGGAGGGGGCACAGGGAGGTTAGTGGTGTCAGGACACCTTGGAAGCAGCAGAGCTTACTGGGACAGGGACAGTTAAGTCATATTTGCAAAAAGATCCACAGCCTTTGCACAGAAGGAGCACAAAGCGATTCTGGTGGGGTTTATTTTCTTCTCCGTGCTTTTCTGCATTTTTTTTTTAACTTTTCTAGAGTGAACAGGTGTTATTCAGAAAATACAAAATACCCCAACATTCATTTTCCGGGTAAATTTTCAAAGGCTTATGAAAGAGTCCCCCCTTCATGCCCACAGGCCTGTCTCTACCACTTTGCCCTAAGAGAAGGTTCAGCCCCCTCCTCCCACTATATACCAAGACAACAGAGTTTGGGGAAAGGACCCGGGGGGATGGCAGGCGAGGAAGGAACTTGCGGGACAGAGGTAGGCAGCCTGCTTTGGGTAGTAGGGTGTCACGCCATGCCCATGGCATGGGAAGGGGACAGTGCCATGAGCAGCTCACCCAGGAGCCCTGCAATTTCATAGGCCTTCTTCTGCTCAATAGTCTCATAGTTGAGGACTTCAAAGAAAATGTCCAGCACCAGGATGTTCTCCCTGCAAAGGGGTTGGGGGAGGAGACCTAGGTTCAAGTCACATCTCTGTCCCTTACTAGCTAGGTGACCTTAGCAAGTTATCCTCTTTGAATCTGTCTCCATGTCCATAAAATGAGATGTCAATGGGGGTACCTGCCTTTTAGGATTGTTGTAAGGATTAAGTGTGATGGCACCTATGAAAAGACACTCCGCACACTGGCAAATGTGGAGTGACCCCAGCTGTAGCAGTGCGGATGAAGATAGAGAATGAAGCAAGGAGGAAAGAGAGGTGCTTCCTTTGCTTGCTCCAGCTAGATCTGCCCTCCATGCCCACCCCAGACTCCTTGGTTGCCTTCTCCTTGTTATCTCAACCTCCTCCTGTCTGCTGGCCCCTCAAAGCCCCGTTATACCCTTTACAGTCCCAGCCCAAGGGCCCTGCCCTGCACAGTTAGAGCCCTTACCCTATGTACTGCTCAGACTTGTTGAACTTCTTGGCCAGGTACTTGGCTGACGCTTTGCTGGGGATCTTGACCATGGACAGCTCCTTGCCATAGCGGGTTAGGTTGCAGGGCATTTCACACACACAGTATTCCTGGTCCTTCTCCACCAGGAAGTCTGTGCCCGACCAGGTGAGAGGCACCAGTTGAGTGGGGCTCTTCGGCCAGCACCTTCCCAACATGAACATCCTGGCCCTGTCCAAAGGAAGCCTGGATCCCCTTCTTTTTACCTGACCTGTCCTTTGCCTCAGCCCTGTGCCTGCCCTGTGCCCACCCTGTGCTGATCCTCACCCAGCCTCCCCATGGATATTTCATAATCCTGTATCTCATTGCTTCAGGGCCCTTGGGGGTCAACCAGCTGAGGTGTTGACGAGAGAGGGTGAGGGCCCCTCCCGGGTGAGCCTGGTTCATTTTTCACAGGGGCCTCTAGAGATGCCATTCCCAGCCTTGCTGAGGTCAGACACAGGAGAGAGAGTTCAAGTGAAGCCTGATCCAGGAGTTATCTGAAGCTTCTGGGAACCTGGTCTGAAACCCCCATGCACGTGGCTCCTTCCTTCCCCCAGACTATCCCAGGACAGGGGTGCTCACCCAGAGCAGGATCCGCACACTCCTTGTACTGTTCTGGAGTGCAGTATGGGGCATCCCCTAACAGAGGAGAAAAGACAGTGGTGCAGGATGGAGATTAAAGGGGTCTTCTGATGATGGTGGTATTAAGGGCCTAGAAACTGGAAACTAGGAGAGGGTGGGAGGGCAGGACTAGCCAGCCCCCAGTCTGTCCTGAAGGTGACCCACCCCACAGTCCACACCCCTCTTGGATGCTTTCCAAGAGGTCAGAGGGACAAGAGCCATAGGAATATGGACGGGGCTAGAACTGTGGTGGGGAGAAGCCAGTTAATCTTGCTTCCGTGTTGGCAGGTGGTTGATATGCATGGGGAGCTGGTGAGAGGCAATGCAGGCTGAGGGGCCCCAAGACTGTGTCTGGAGCTTTGGGGCCTGACCTGGCATGTGCACCATGCGACAGTTACAGTTCTCCACCAGGTAGCGTGTCTCACAGTCGATGCGGCAGGCAGTTATGCTGTAGGAGTCGAAGAAATCCGAGTCCATGGTAACAGCTTTGCAGGTGCCCCAGGGCGGGGGCAGGTAGATGAGCTGCTGGGAGAGCCGGGGAGCTGGGGGGTGTGGGGACTTCTCCCCGAGTCACCTTGATGGACTTGTCTGACAAGATGCAGAACTCAGGAGTCCTGCCCCCTCTCCCTCTGCAGACTCTGAGGGTCTCAGAGTTTACAGAGCATTCCTGTTCATTCATGCTTCTCACTAGTCAGACTGAAACCCAGACCCTAGCTCACCCGTCCCTCCTGTATTGATTGCCCACCACTCCATCTTGACCCCTCAACACCCCACCCTGGGACCAGCCTCCCGTGGTCCTCTCACCCGCTGCTCCTGGCAGGACACAAAGGTCTGGAACCCTGGGGCCACACCAAAGCCCAGCTGGTCGATGAAGGGAGGTTCATCCTGACTGTGGATCTGCACTTTGATGCCCGCTTCGAAGGACGTCTCATCTATGGGAATGAGGGGGGTATGTATCGGGAAGGCTTCTGACTCCCTAACCTCCTTCAGAGCTGGGGTCATGCCACCTCTCCTAGGAATAAGCACAGTGCACACTGGGACGGGGAGAGGGGTTAGTCTATGGGGCCCATCCCCAGGATCCTTTTGGGTTTGCTAACTGCATGCTGCCCTGATGAACCCTGCAACCTACATACTTTTCTTATCTGACTTCAGCTATGCATCTCGGCGTTTCATATTCTTTCCCAGACACTATCTATTTCTCCCTCTCCTTTTCTCTCTTCTCCTCATGTCTCTCAGTCCCAAGGCCCCCTGGGACCAGACTAACGGCAGACGGCCCAAGAAGAGAGGGAGTTATTTATAGAGCGAGTGGCGGCCACTGATGGAAAGGGATGGCTGGTTACCTTGGAGAGTAACTGAGCCAGGAAGGGGGAGCCAGAGAACTGTGAGGGTGGCATTCAGGTAGAGTCGGAGATGGAGATGGCAAGATGCTAGGAAGAAGGGAGGAGAGCCCAAGTCCTGCCTCGGGTCCCACAGTGGAGCTCAGGAGTCCCCTGGTGGAGGCTGATGACTAGGGCCATGGGAAGGGGTCTCAGAGAGAAGTGACATACCAGTCTCTCCCCATACGGGCAGGTACTCGTCCTGCTGGATGTCCAGCATGATCTCCAGCCCATTGCCAGTCCCACCCTTCATGGTCTTCAGCCGTGGACGCCCATCTCGGCCCGAGTTGAATGTGTAGCACTTTCCATACCGTGTGAAGACCTGGTGAAGGCAGAGTGAAGAACCTGAGAGTCCTGGCAGCGCCCCCTACCTACCAAGGGCTGTCCCCAGACCCCTCGGCTGCTCAGCAATGATTCCTTCTATGTAGCCCATTCTCCATATGTCCTCCTTCTCACTCATTCGCTGCCCTTCTTTGCCCTGCTCTGTGCCCTGGAAAGCTGATCCTGATGGAGTGTGCTGTCCGTGCCCCTTTGTCACTTGGACAGGCTCTGGGTTCGGGATGGCCACTGGGAGCTATCACTAAGGGATCAGAGGGCAGAAGGAGACAGAGATCCGGGTGTTCATCCTTCCCCACCCTTCTCCCCTCTGAAAATGTTCTGGCAGTGGTTTAGACCCTGTAACTACAGACCCTGCCAGGAGGGCTCCCCGCATAGCACCGCTGCCTCCCTGTACCCCTTTAGCTTGTATGTGACAACTTCCCACTATCACTAGGTGCCTCAGGCCCCTTCAGGCAGAGTTTCCTTAACTCTGCCCACAGCTCTGTAAATAGACCCTTTGTTCAAGTCTTTTCAATTAGACTATCCGAGTGGCAGTCTTTTTCCTGCTGGGACCCTGACATATATACACCTCCATCACCAGGATCCCGTCACTGCCATACTCCTGGTCCCTCCTTGAGACTCCCTCCTTGAGGCCCCCTCCTCAGGTCCAAGATCCTGGGGCCTTCTGAGATATGATTTCTCTTTTCCTGGATTTTGCCCCAGGCATCTGAAATCTTGCTCTCCCCGAGATCCTTCCCCCAAACCAAGCGAAGCTTTTTAGTTTTCTCTAGCAAGGAGCCCCTTATGTCCATCGTTGTCCCATCATCACCAGAACCTGAAAGCGGACCTAGTTGCCATCCCAAGGACCATGCTCACCCAACCACCAGCATCTCCTCTTCCAGGATCTGGTACCGAGCATTCAGGGCATGGTATGCTTGGAAATGTTTGTGCAGAACTATGAGGGCCTCAGAGGAGATCTGAGCCCTGGGGGCAGTCTCTCCAGCCCATCCCTCAGAGCAGCCCTTATCACAGCTCTGACCACACAGCCACGGAGAGAAGAGTGAACCAATTCCTTATGGCCCTCTCCCTGCTGCTTGCCTGAATGTTTCCACGTTCCCACAAATGGGGTGAGTATGCTTTGACTACTGCTTGATGGTGACAGAGTCCACAAAGCAAGTCAGAAGGTCTACAGACACAGCCCAGGGAAAGAGAAAGACGGTGTTAGGCCAGACCAGAGCAGTGGGGGTATGTGGAGGTTCCTAAGAAATAGAATCCCTGTCCCCTTCCCCCTTCCTGAAACAGCCTCCTCCCCCATTCAGAAAAGAAAACATGTGCTCTCCTCTATTCTGTGGGTAAGGCCCAGAGATGAAGTAGAGACAGAACTCCAACAACTCCCAATCCCCCAGCCCCACAAGGAAGTTTTGTGGCACTCAGTCACAGGCTCCAGACGCACACCCACGCCTACCCTCCATCTGGAAGGTGAGGGACCCCAGGTGGCCCAGAGCACCAGCCCTGCCTGGGCTGAGGGCTGTGAGGTTGACCAGTGGACTGCTGCTGCCACCTGGTGGTTCTATGTGAGAAGTGTTCTACCCTCAGGTCCAGAGGCAGCTAAGTTGACCCCTTTGTTATCCCACGTTCCTGTATTTCCCGACACGCCTGAGATCCAGTGGCCAAAACCTCGAGGTCCCTGTCTGCGGTTGGTCCACAACACACTGATGACAGCCACCTGCTCCTGCACTATGGACGAGGTGGGGGATGGAGGGACAGATGTGGGGGAAGGGAAGGCCAGGCATCTGGCACCTGGAGGGGGCAGGAGAGGAGTCAGGCCAGACAGAACTGGAAGCTGAAGTGGGGAGGGGAGGGGGTGCCATTTGGTGCCTCAGCAAGGACCCTAAACTCCAGAGTGGGAGGGCAAGCAGGAGGCTGACTCCCACTGAAGGCTTCCCTGGGCAAGAGGATCCCTAGTCACTCAGAGCTGGAGGGGAAGGGGAGGATTTAGAGGAGGTCTGTTGTTCTCCCTCAGATACACAGACAGACAGACACACACACACACACACACACACATACACACATACACACTCGGTAGGAGGAACACTGAAAGACCACATGAGGATGCACTGACATCCCTGCTGTGGTCATTACTGAGAAGGGGTGTGGTGGGGTGGAGTTGGGGGCTGTCCCCACCCCTCCACCTCCCTTCCACACTCTTCTTCTGTGCCTCCAGAGACCAGGTTATACCTGCCCCAGCTCCAGTCCAGGGGTGACAGTCAAAATTGTTAAGGCCAGGAATAGGTACCCACCATCAGACCAAAGGTTGACCCCAAAGACAGACTAAGGTCCTAGGCCCTGCTCGATCGCAGGGAGGTCTGGGAAAGGGCTGGAGATGCTGGAGAATATTCAGGGAGACACCAGGGGCCTCAGGGCAGCAGCTAATTACCAACTAGCACAGATGAATTTCAAGATTCTAACAGGAAGAGCAGGACGGCACAGACCCGAAAATAGCAGCCCGGTTCCAGACCCTGGGGCTCCCGGGGCAAGCTCTGGCCAGGTCTCTCTGAGACAGGTCATGAAGTGTGGGTGGCCCAGGTGAGGCAGGGGAGGTGGTCACCAGCCCCAGCCCCAGGAGGCGACAGTCAGGGTGTGCCATGTCAGACACGCTTAGGGTGCTACGCCCGGCCCAGGCCCCCACTCACCACCGAGAAGTTGTGAGGGCCACAGGGCCCCCCGCAGTAGGAACAATAGAGCAGCATGTCCTCCAGCCGGTGGCAAGAGCGATTGTAGAAGCGGTGCAGGTTAAAGGGCTCCCCAGAGAAGGCCTCAGGCCCCGGTGGGGCCAGAGGCACCCCAGGGTCATCACTTTCATCCAGCCCCAGCATGGGGGCCAGGTAGAGCAAGTCGGGGTAGCTGAGCTGGGACAGCCGCACAGCATTAGCGTTGCAGAGGGTGACCGCCGGGAAGGCCAGCTCCGTGGTGGCCACCTCGTCTAGCAGAGTCACGTGCGGGTAGCTGAGGTAATAGGCAACGCGGTCCCCTACCTGGCACAAGAAGGCACCCAGTGCCAGAACAAAGGCCACTGCCCACAGGGCCTGCCTCGGCCCTGGACCCCCCTCCACGAAGATGTGGCTGGTGCCATGCAGGGTGCAGCTGTTGGCAAAGGCCACCAAATCCATGGGCGAATCCCCCTCTCTAGCCTTCTTCCTCACTGCCTCCTTTTCCTTCTCTTCCTCCTCTTCTGATTCTGACTTGTCCCGCTGCCGCCGCTGGTGCGGACCCCAAACATCTCCCAAGGGCCCTGGGGCTTCCTCTCCAGAGGAGAATGACACAGAGCAGAAGATCTGGATGGGCATCTTCTCCAGGGGCTTCCTGGCACTGGGGATTGGCAGGTGAAGGGAGAGACAGATGTGATCTCAGGCAGGGTCCAGCAGAGCCAGCCACCCAGACCTTCTGCCAGGTCTCCTCCGCCTCGCCAGCCAGCTGTCCTTCTCTGCCAGGGCCTTCGTGGCAGTGTGGCTGAGATGGGGCTGAGACTGGGCGGGGCGTGGGGAGGAGGACCTGCCTGCTCTGCCACAGGGCGGGCCTCTGGGCTGATGAATAATGGATGGCGGTGGGAAAGGGAGGCTGATGGACGGGAGGGAGCCCCTTTCCCGTCACCAGCTCCAGCAGGACAGAGGGGGTTGAAGACAGTGGAAACCCTAGACAAGCCTAGGGGCTCCAGGTGAGATGGGACCTAGCAGATTCCTTTGCTTCCACAGCCCAGAGCCACAGTCCCTGCCCCTCCCCCATGACATTCAAGCTCCCTATCACCATCCCATCGGTTCCTCAGCATCTCCCTTGGTCTTCCTGTCCCAATTCTGGGTCCTCGCCCCCATTCTCACCGGGTGCAGCCATTTCCCTGAGATATCAGAGCCTCTGCACTCTCGGCTCTCTCAGACCTCTAATTCCTCCATGACTCCCCCTGATCCATAATCCCCCCAATTATTTCACTGACCATATACCCCCATCATCTCCCAATACACACATAAGACCCCAGTTCCCTTTCAGTCACTGCCCTGACCCCAATTTACCCTGCTACTTCCTGAACCCTTAATTCCCCTGTAATCATTGCCTTGACCTCCAATTTCCCTCCCGCCAGTCCCTGACCCCATTTATCCTCCCCTGCCTCCCCTGATTCTGGCTCAGCTTCAAGTCCTCACCCTCCCCTGTGCTGAGCAACACTTAGGTCACTTTCCCCTCCTCCACCTTTCCCTTCTGTGGCTTGGGGGGCAGCCCAGGTTCCATTAGCAGAGGTCTCTCACTGACCACAGACTCATTTATGGCCAGTTCCCGGCACCAGTGTGGGGGAGGACCCTGTCTCTTGCAGCTGAAAAGCTTCCTGGCAGACCACCACTCCCCTCCCAGCTTGCCCACCCCTCAACGTCCAGGAGAGGAGTTCGAGGAATTCTGTCTGGTAGGTGGAAGAAATTGAGATCAGAGAATACTGCTAGGTCAGGTGGAGAGTGTCAGGAACCAACTCGGGGTATTCCCCAAACCCTCAGCCTCACACATACCCCTGGCTGCTCAGTCTCTGAGACTTGCCCCCAGTTTACCATTCTCTGCCCCCAGGCCCCTGGCCCCTCTGTGCGCTCTGATTACTCAGGGCCAATGATTGAGGAACTTGAGCCACAATCCAAGTCTCTAGGGCCTAGAAGGTGACCTGAGGGGAGGAGTGGAAGGGAGGGAGAGAGGGGAAGCCTGTTAACCCTTCCTTTGCAGGACCAGAGGTAAGCAGTGGAGGTCAGATGAGTCTACTGGGCCTTGCCCTTCCTTAACCATCACACAGCCTCAGACCTCCTCCCCCCTCCTTTTCTCCCCTCCCTCCCTGCTCCCACACCTCTTCCCTTCTCTGTTTCCATGCAGAGACCCTGGAGTGTGTTGGGGATTGGAGGCAGGGTGCCAGATGCCAGCAGAACTGACTAATATAGGACCTTTGGCCTCAGCTTTGCTGCCAGGGACACAGAGGCTCCAGAAGAAGAGCGGTGTTTGAGCTCTGGCCCATCTCCATCTTTCACCATTGCCCTCAGACTGGCCTCCACCTCTTTTGCCTAAACAATGGCTTTCCAACTGCTCTCCCCAATCCCCTGCCTCCCAGTAGTTTCTCCCCACCTTATATAATTCTGACCATTCTCCTGCATAGAGACCTTCACGCCCCAGTGCCTCTTGGTGAAATCACCTCCATCGCAAGAGGAGCTATGAGGCCTTTGCAACTTACCTTCCAGCCTCCCTTCCCCAACCTGCCACAGCAGTCTAGTGCCTAGCCACCATGCCCTTCTCCCATTCTGCATACACACAAGGCTCATCCACAGCTCCATGCTTTCCCTGGACTCCATCTGGAGAATTTCTACTCATTTTTCAAGACCTTACTCACATGTTACTTCCTCCAAGAAGCCTTTCCTGATTGCACAGGACAAAGTTAGTACCCACTCAGGACACAGAATGAGGGGTCCAAATCTGCTCAAGCCCCTTCAGGCATGAGCAGTGACCAACAGCTTCTTGAAGACAGAGACCGTGAAAATGAAAGAGCAAGACCCAGGGACCATGTTAAGAAACTAGAACCAAGAAGACCAGGAACACCCAGGGCAACCAGAGAGGTCACTCAAGAGATGAGAAGAAAGATTACCGCCCCCCAACCCCCTTCGACTGTGGTCCTCAGGCTTCTTCTGTATGAATTCATGGGTTCCTTTTCTGTTTCTGGTCCCGTGTGCATTTTCTCCACCTGGGCACCCCCCTCCCAGACCTCAGCTTCTAGAAGGCTTTGCCTGTCCTCAGGATGTGTGTTTCAGAGGTAAGTTCTAGGCCTGGGGTGAGGGTGGGGAAGCCACAGCTGCCCGTGCGTTCCACACCCACTAGAGGGCATTGTTCCCTTCCTTCAGACTTCTGGCCGGAGAGGTAGGTTAGACTTCCAGAGGGAAGACACCAAGACAGGGGACAGACACTTCCACCACGAGGCTTCACTAGAGAGAAGGGCACGCGCACACACAGCAGCTTCAGAGGACGGCAAATCCAGCATGGCAGGACACTTCTTCCCCCACACCAACACAAAGACCCACACTGCACACCTACACATCACTACACACAGCTGCCTTGTGGGGCAACAAAGACACACACACACACACACACACACACACACACACACACACACACACCAACCACATTTCTTCCCTCCTCCATCCTCTAACATTCTCTGCTACCACATCTTGTTCCAGTAGACAAATCCAAAATTTTCACAGTAATGGGAGGTAAGGAAAGTATCAAGCAGCACACACAGACCGCCCCCCCCCCCCCCAAGCACACACAGAGGCCCCAGGAGAAGTGGGCAAGCAGAACGCAGGTAGGGCAGCACTCGATTCTGAACCCTCTGTCCAAGGATGCAACCCTTCCCTGTGTCATTCCCTACCCAGCACTGCTCTTAAGCTGTGTGTGGCAACTCAGTGGTTTCTGATTTTCTCCACATGTTTTTCTAAACTCCCTCGCCCTCAACATCTGTACAATGTTTCATGCTCTTTAATTAATATCTCATGGGATCCTTATACAACCTAGTGAATTAAGCAGGTTTGAGTAACTTCACACCCCCCCGACAAATGAGGAAACTGAGGCACAATGATCTGTTCAAGTTTCATGGAGAGCAAGTAATGGGCATGAGACTAGGATTAGATCATCCCCCTCCAAATCCCTTCCTCCTTCTTCATTCTTTCATTTATTCATCAAATATTTACTGAGTATCTACATACTGAGGACACGTGAAGAATACATAGGGGCACCTGGGTGGCTCAGTCGGTTAAGCATCTGAGTCTTGGTTTCAGTTCAGGTCATGAGCTCACAGTTCATGAGATTGAGCCCCACATCAGGCTCCATGCTGACAGGGCAGAGCCTCCTTGGAATTCTCTCTCTCCCTCTCTCTCTGCCCCCCCCCCCATTCCCTCTCTTTCTCTCAAAATAAATAAACTTAAAAAAAAAAAAAAGAATATATAGAGGACCAGGATCTTGCCCTTGTGGAACTTACTGTCTGATGGGGGAGACAGACACCATTTTCTAAAAATTGCAAAACTAAATGATTAATCGCAAACTACGATAAGTGCTATGAAAAAAAATAATATGCTCTATGGGAGTGAATGACAGGGAGATCTGACCCAGCCTTGGGAATCAAAGCAGGTTTCTCTGAGGAAGTGATGTTTTAATTGCAATCTAAAGAATAAGGAGGCATAATTAGGTAAAGGTCTGCATGGGGGTAGGGGGGGAGGCAGGGGGAAAGAGTATTCTAGAGAGCAGAGTCATGCAAAGGCCCTGAAGACCACGGAAGGAGAGAGCTGAGCAGAGGAGGATGTAGTTGGAAAGCCAGGGCAGGGTAAGAACAGGCTGGAGGAACAGGCAGGACCCAGACCTCTCAGGGCGTTGAAGACCACAGCAAAGATTCTGGTCCAAGGACAATGGGAGGCACACCGTGGGAGAATTTCAAGTGATCAGAGCAGTGTTTTGAAGAAAGGACTCTGGAGTGGCCAGAGGGGATGCTGGAAGACCTGTTAGGAAACGGTTGCAGGGTCTAGGCAAGACGGTGAGTAGTGGGCTGGCTTGGTATAGGGTAGTAGGGTAGGGATATTTGGGAGGCAACAATGGCAGGTCCGGTTAAGGGCGGTGAGGGAGATGGGACTGTCAGGGATGATTTCTAGTCTGCATAAGTGGCTGTATGGTGGGGTGGCTCGCTAGGCCAGAACACAAGGCAAGGACTGGTTTGGGAGATAAGATGATGAATTTGGCTTTGCACATGCTGGGTTTTTGGAGCCTTGGGGACATCCAAGTAGAGATGTGAAGTGGGAGATTGGTCACTGGTGCTGAGGCTGAGAGGAGAGAGCTAGACTGAGGCATACATCTGGCACTCGCTGGTGTATAGATGCTGACTGAAGTCATGCGTGAAGATGAGATGGCCCAAGAATAGAATAGAAAGGAAAGAAAGAAAGAAAGAAAGAAAGAAAGAAAGAAAGACAGAAAGACAGAAAGACAGAAAGACAGAAAGAAAGAGCAAACAAGCCTGATTTGTCAATATCCACTGAAGCTAAACAGAATCCCAACCTGTGACTTAACCACAGCTCCTAGTTATATACCCAAGAAATGAGTACCTATGACAAGCAGAAAACATAAACAAGAATGTTCATGGTAGCTTTATTTATAATAGCCAAAAAACTAATAACAACCCAAATGTCTAGCAAGAGTAAAATGGATAAACACATCTTGGTATATTTATATAATGAGATACAACACAGCATTGACAAAGAGCTAACTACCACCACACCAAACAAGATAATGTCACAGACAAAATCGAAAGCAAAAGAAGACAAGCACAAAAGTGTGTATGGAGGATACATATACTCTAGGAACTTCAAGAACAGGTGGGACTTAACTGTCCCGACAGAAGTCAGAATAATGGTTAACTTTTATGGGACAGTATTGACTAGGAAAGGGCCTAAAGGAACTTTCTAAGGTGCTGGAAATGT